ATTACAGGCATGAGCCACCACACTCGGCCAGAAGTTGTTTTATATTGATCTGCCTTGACTGGGCAAGGTAGGTCATTCCCGTTTTACAGAGGGGAAACCGCGGCCCAGGTAGAGGATGTTGTTCACTTGCTGGTGTCATTCAGTTTGCAGGTGGTGGACAGAGATTCAAGGTTGATTCTGTGTTGCTCCCAGTTTCCTTTGAGCATGTCTGGAGGAGGGAAATGAGGTCTGAGTGGGGAGGGCAGAGTTGCTGAGATATCTGTAAACAGTTAGGGGACCCTCCTACACACATACAAGGGGATACATAAAATAAATTCATTGCAGGGAGATTTTTGGTAGCAGACATTGAGAAGCAAATGAAAAGTCCATCCATGGGAGAATGGGCGCATACACTATGGCAAAGTCAGCCAACAGAATGCTATAGAATAGGGGAAGGTGTCAAGGCTGTCTCAGAAACAGCACAAACATCAGAAAAAATACTGTAGCATGATAGAGTTGACTTGTTTTCACAAGGCAGAACAACCCCATGTGCTACTTAGAGAAACACATTTGTAGTAGAGCTGTAGACCTGTGCAGAAAAGTGACAAACGCCCAGTTCCTGGGCGGGGTTACCTCTTGGGGAAGCCAGGGTTGGGTCTGGGGAGGGGCTCACAGACACACAGAGAGCTCGTCTTGCCTTGGTTTTATTTCCTGTTACTTTTTTTTTTTTTTTTCTTTTTGAGACAAAGCCTTGCTCTGTCACCCAGGCTGGAGTTCAGTGGTGTGATCTTGGCTCACTGCAACCACAGCCTCTCGGGTTCAAGCGATTCTCCTGCCTCAGCCTCCCAAGTAGCTGGGACTACAGGCACCTGCCTCCATGTCCACCTAATTTTTATATTTTTAGTAGAGATGGGGTTTCACTATGATGGCCAGGCTTGTCTCAAACTCCTGACCTCAAGTAATCCCCCTGCCTCAGCCTTCCAAAGTGTTGGGATTACAGGCGTGAGCCACTGCACCCAGCCACTTTCTGTTTTTTGTTTTAAGAGATAGAGCCTCTCTCTGTAGCCCAGGCTAGAGTGCAATGGCACAATCATAACCTCAAACTCCTGGTCTCAAGTAGTGGCTCTCTTACCTCAGCCTCCCAAGTAGCCGGGGTTACAGGTGCACACCACCATGCCTGGCTATTTTTAAAATTTTTGTAGAGGTGGGGTCTTGCTATGTTGCCCAGGCTGGCCTGGAACTCCTGGCCTCAAGTGATCCTCCCAGGTTGGCCTCCCAAAGTGCTGGGATTACAGGCACTGCACCTGGCCCTGCCTGTGTTAAACTGGGTGGTGCTTCACAGGTTTTTGTTACATTACGAATACTGTTTTGCATGCCTCAAGTATTTCAGCTTTTTTTTTTTTTTTTGCTCTGTTATCTAGGCTGGAATGCAGTGGTGTGATCTCTGCTCACTGCAACCACCGCCTCCTGGGTTCAAGACATTATCCTGTCTCAGCCTTCCAAGTACTGGGATTGTAGGTGTGCACTACAATGCCCTGTCTTTTTTTTTTTTTTTTTTTTTTGGTATTTATTACTTTTTGAGATGGAGTTTTACTCTTGTTATCCAGGCTGAAGTGCTATGGCACAATCTTGGCTCACCACAACCTCCGCCTCCCAGATTTGTGATTCTTCTGCTTTAGCCTCCCGAATAGCTGAGATTACAGGCATGTACCACCACGCCTGGCATTTTGTATTTTTGGTAGAGATGGGGTTTCTACACGTTGGTCAGGCTGGTCTCGAACTCCCGACCTCAGATGATCTGCCCACCTTGGCCTCCCAAAGTACTGGGATTACAGGTGTGAGCCACCACGCCTGGCCTTTGTTGTATTTTTAATAGACAGGGTTTCACCATGTTGGCCAGGCTGGTCTTTAAATTTTTTTTTTTTGAGACAGTTTCACTCTTGTTGCCCAGGCTGGAGTGCAGTGGTGCAGCATCTGCTCACCGTGACCTCTGCCTCCTGCATTTAAGCGGTTCTTCTGCTTCAGCCTCCCAGGTAGCTGGGATTACAGGCATATGCCACCACGCCCGGCTAATTTTTGTATTTTTAGTAGAGATGGGGTTTCACCATGTTGATCAGGCTGGTCTCAAACTCCTGACCTCAGGCGATCCACCCACCTTGGCCTCCCAAAGTGCTGGGATTACAGGAACAAGCCACCTCACCCAGTCAAGGTCTCAAACTCTTGACCTCAAGTGGTCCTCCACCTCCCACAGTGCAAACTTTTTAAAAAGTGCAATTACCACCCACGCAGAAGAGACTGGGCCTCAAGAGTCCAGGATTCTTTTACATCTCAGTTTTGTCAACTGACTGGTCATCCGAACTTGCTTCTTCTCATATAACATGGGTACAAACTCCCCACTTGTAAGACTGTAAGAATATTCTGGCCGGTGTGGTGGCTCACGCCTGTAATCTCAGCACTTTGGGAGGCTGAGGCGGGCAGATCACCTGAGGTCAGGAGTTCAAGACCAGCCTGGCCGACATGGTGAAACCCTGTCTTAAAAAAAAAAAAAAAAAATATTCTGCAGTGCACTTGGCACAGTATCTGGAACAGTTCTCTAGCTCTGGGGACCAGAATCCCAGGTGTTCTGTTGGGGTCAATAGACCCTCTGTGCTTCAATTCCTCCTTAAGACCCCCTCCCAGGAATAAGCTTGGCTCCAGACCTGGAAGCCCTGACTTCACCTTCCGTGGAGGAGCCTGTTTCTAGGGCCTCTACTGCCCCCCAGTGGCTGGAGCGGCACGGCGGCGGGACTGCAGACCCACTCCGACACTTCCACTTTCCCACCTACCTGCTGCTGTGCAAACCAGACGCTTGGCATTTTCTCATGTCGTCAGCTCTGGGAAATGTTTTATCCTTAATGGTCAAAAGAGGAAACTAGGGCCCAGAATGGTGAGTGACTGGCCCGCAGCCAGGTGGCTTGGGTTCAAATGATGGCTGTAGCTGGGGGACAGCGGGCAAGTTACCCAACCTATGGCTTACTTTCCCTACTTCCAAAATCCTTTTTGGCACCTACTTCACAGGGTTGCTGAGTGTAAACAATGATGCTTTTAATTTATTGTTTCTTTTTTTGAAATGGACTCTGGCTCTGCTCAGGCTGCAGTGCAATGGTGTGATCTCAGCTCACTGAAACTTCCACCTCCTGGATTCAAGCGATTCTCCTGTAGCTGGGATTATAGGCATGTGCCACCATGCTTGGCTACTTTTTAATTTTTGAGATGGAGTTTCACTCGTTGCCCAGGCTGGAGTGTAATGGTGCAATCTTGGCTCACTGGCAACCTCCAACTCCTGGGTTCAAGCAATTCTCCTGCCTCAGCCTCCTGAGTAGCTGGGATTACCGGGACCCAGCACCACACCTAGCTAATTTTTCATATTTTTAGTAGGGACGGGGTTTCACCATGTTGGCCAGGCTGTTCTTGCAACTCCTTACCTCAAGTGATTCACCTTAGCGTCCCAAAGTGCTGGGATTACAGGTGCGAGCCACTGTGCCTGGCCACAATGATGCATTTGGAAAGTGCCTGGCACAGTACAGTGCTGGCACACAGTAGGTTCTAAGCGCGTTTTAAATACAAATCCTTCAGCACTGACAATCATCAAGCTGGGGAGGGCGGCAGCTTCATTCTCCCCTGGTGTAGGACCCGATGGCTTTGATACTTCCTATTTTCAACACTTATGACTTAGATTTGGGGACTGCCAACTGGCTGTCCACCAGCAGAGCCACGGCTCTTCATGGCATGTTGCCCAATGGGGAGTTAGCAGGAGGAGGTGAAGGCTCAGGGGAGTAAGGTGAACATGGTCACACAGGATTAGGAAGAGTTGGGATTTAAACTCAAGTAGTTTAAACTTCAAAACCCAGGCTTGGCCCTTTCCAGGAAATGGGTCAGATCCCAGGAATAACTTGGACAGGGGAATCCTGGGAGATATTGGCCAAACCAGTTTAATCTTCCCAACTGGGTGCAACATCAGGTCACAGCAGGTCCCAAGAGCTTCTTTCCTGTCTTGCCCACTGGGTGGTGTTGGGATCTCCTGCCCTGATCAGGTGCCCAACCATGGTGGAGACCCCATCGCACTTTGCTGTGTAAGCCAGTCACTGTGGAGGACTGCTGAGGCCATGCAGCCCCCGTGTGGCCACCCTGGGAGCTGCACTTCTGCACAGGCGCCTAGCAGGCTCCGCTTCCACCGGCTTCCTGCCACTGCCACACTCAGGAGGCCCACTGCCACTCAGATGCAGAGTGAAGGCTCAAGGACCATCCAGAACGTGCAGGCAGCACAGGCAACTTTGCGGTGGAGGCTCCCTGGTGGCCTGTCTGTGCTCCACCTTCCAGGGAGAAGCATGAGCCGTGGACCCTCTTGCTTTCCTCCAGCAGAAGCCACCTCTGCAGCCCATGTCCAGCTAAGCGCACAGCTTACTGCCCTCAACAGCTCACACAGCCGTCCTTTCTTACTTTCTGAGAATTGCAAAGACAGGATGTGGGGGAGTCAGCCATGAGGGCCCCTAGGTCCTTCCTCCAAACCCAGATAGGAACTGTTTGACTGGGGAGGCCCTACTGGCTGCCAGGTACACAGCCACCTAGGCACCCTCACTCAAGGGAAGGGAGGAAACACTTCTTCATGCCCCCAAAGAGCAACCAACCAAGAGACCCAGACCAGACCAGGCGCAGTGGCTCACACCAGCACTTTGGAAGGCTGAGGCAGGAAAATCGCTTGAACCCGGAAGGCAGAGGTTGCAGTGAGCTGAGATGGTACCACTGCACTCCAGCCTGGGTGACAGAGTAGACTCTAAAGAGACCCAGACGAGGATTACGAATGAGGCGATTTATTAACCCAGCATGATTTGTTCTAATGCTTCTTGTTGGCAGCTGCCACCTGTGGGAAAAGATGGAAGAGTAAGGTCAGTCAAGGGGGCCTCTGCTGGGGCACTTTGTAACAGCTACCTCCTACCCACTAGAGGTAGGCACCCGATGTGTGGTCTTAAATGAAATGCATCCATCTCATCTAATTCTCACTGGGTATTTCCCCATTTCACAGACGTAGAAGGGAGTGGTGGAGTGGAGTCCCACTGCCATGTGAGAAAGCAACATCCAATCACCAGCAATGATGTGCCTGCCAAGCCCCTCTGCCTGGAAGAGCTTTCTCCTTCCAGGCAACCCCAACTCCTAGAAGGCTAACACCTTCCATTCTTTTGTGACACTTGACTAAGTGACTAAATACTCCAAGGCTCCTAGGAGGCCTAAGTCAATGCTACAGAACTGAGTTCACGCCAGGCCCTAGGAGCTCCTGCTGTACTCCTCACTACCATGCTTGACATGGCCAAGGGTAGATTCTGGCCACAGGGAGGCCAAGACAGGGAGACTGTGGCACCAAAGGTGTGGCCATTCTGCCCCAGGTGTCAGCCAGCCAGGATCTGAATGGAGGCCTGGGTCCTGAACCAGCCCTGGCCCTTATCTCCACCTCTCCCAAGCAACGGATGTGATGCTCAGTAAGCATGAGGACTTCAGGGAACACTGCAGGCTGACCTGGGAAGAGGGGGTCATCTGCGGATGCAGCTATGTGCTCCGCAGATGCTCAGTGGCACCTGGGCTGGAGTTTCCTCCAAATTTCTAAGCAGCACCAACAGGAAAAGTCAATCAGAACTGCCCTTTTTCCTGTCCCTGGGCAGTCCTCCTGACCCCACCACCACCGTGGGCTGTGCCCTCCAGGAGGAAATAATTCTGGCCCTGCCCCAATGCAGGCCTCACCTGTCCGGCGATTCTGTCCAGATCTCTCTGTCCCTGAGGTGTCAGTTTGCGGCCCCTGTGGGGAGGGAATGGTCATGCAGGCCCCAGTGAGCACAGGTCATGTTCTCAGCCCTTTCTGGTTTTGAGCTAGGCTTCTCAAGAAGGCACTTGGCTGTGAGACCACCTGCCGCTAGCCAAGTCTCAGTGAGGGCCCTAGTCAGGTGCATTCTAACGAGCTGGGGGCAGTAGTGGGAGCCTGCCTGGGAGCTGATGGGGTATCGTTTGTGCAAGCATTAGATCAAAAGCCCCGAAAAATCAATTGGGAAAAGTTAACGAGCAGGCTAATGAAAGCGGACAGTCGCTAAATTACCTTCCTGGAGCCTGGGCTAGTCAGCCAGAGAGGTCAGGGTGAGGCCCCTTGCTGTTCGCTTTTCTGCAGAATCCCCTCTTGCCTGCCTCTGGGGAGAGGCCGGAGGGGCTGGGCAGACTACGCAGGACCATTTGTTGGGGAAATGAGTTGTGGGCACTGATGGCCCGGCCCCAAGGCTGCTCCATCAGTCCAGCCCTGCCCACCCTGCTTACCCATCTTGGTCCTTTTCCACCATTTTCAGCCCCTCCAGGGCTTGGAGGACCCGGCGGGCCACGCTCTTGGAGCCTCGGCTGAAGTGGCTAGGCATGACGCCATTTCTCTGACGTCCCCCATAGATCTTGGTCATGGAGCCAACCCCAGCGCCACCCCGGAGGTATAGGTGTCGCGCTGTGGAAGCTGGGGATAGTGTGAGAGGGCGATTTAGGGTCTTGATCAAGGTCTCATATAAACAATTCCATGTGTAAACAGCCAATTCTCACCGTTTTGTAAGAAGGGAAACTGAAAACACACACTAACACCCGGAAACTGACAGCTCCCTCTCTGTGTCCCCAACCCCAAACAGCCCTGCACCCTGGGTGGGCACTCCCACCTCTGCAGGGCCAACTTCTTTAGTGGTTACTGTCCCAGCAGCACTGCTGTTGAATTGAACCTAAGATATGTACAGGTAGGTCACAGCCTACCTGTGACCATCTCCATGGGCCCCAGAGAAGCAGGAGTGAAAGGACCTATTGCCACTCTCTGGGCAACCAGTCTGGAGAGAGAGAGCTCAGGATAACAAGGACAGGGCAGACACTGTGCAGTGGATGCCCCCATCTTGGAATGTGTACCAGCCCCTCTGTGGACACGGGGTTCTTGTTCCTAGACTGGCTTGGGCAAGTCCCTGTTCCATCCCAGCCAGCCTCCTTGCCTGCAAGGAAAGTTCCCACCTCCCCAGAAACACTTGCACGGTTCCACTAACTGGAGCACACATCAGCCAGGCCCCATGCCAAGGGCTTTTCTGTGTCTCCCCTGCACCTCACCTTAGGGCCAGGAGGTTACTGTGCGGACTCAATGAGTGTGTCAAGTGCTATTTTCCTTTACAGGGAGTGAAACTGAGATGCCAGAGGGTACTCAATGGCTCCATGTCACATAGTTCTGGAGGCACTGCCCTGTCCTGCCATTGTGATCCATGATGCAAGAAGTACCCAGAGTTCAGCCATCACATGCTTCTGCCTGGCTCTGGAGCAGAGTCTGATTTATCCCTGGGACCCAGAGACCCGCAAATTGGTCAGAGTCTGCTCAAGTGACTTCTTTCCTCTAGTTCTAAAGATCAAGTGGGGGAATTTGGGGATTCTTCCAGTTTCCAAGTGCCAGGCAGCAGTGTTTTGTGTGGGGTGGTAGGCTGCTCCTGGCCTCCTGCTCCCTGCTCAGAAATGGTTCTTGCACACCGCTTGTTCCTAGCCCCCTCCTGCCCTGAGATCAGGTCCAGATACAGCCAGCCCTCTATAGCCACAGACTCAACCAACGGCGGATCAAAAATATTCACAGGAAAAAAATCCACACAATTAAAAGCAGTGTGACAATTACTGTATTAGTTTTTTTCCCCCCCTTAAGACAGGGCTTCATTCTGTCTGTCACCCAGGCTGGAGGGCAGTGGTGTGATCACAGTTCACTGCAGCCTCAAACTCCTAGACTTAAGCAATTTTCTTGCCTCAGCCTCCCAAGTAGCTGGGACTGCTGTCTGGCCTCTATTAATCTAGAAGTAATCTGGAGGTGACTTACTATATATGGGATCCGGCCAGGCATGGTGGTTCATGCTTGTAATCCCACCACTTTGGGAGGTTGAGGCAGGTGGGTGAATCACCTAAGGTCAGGAGTTTGAGACCAGCCTGACCAACATGGCAAAATCCCATCTCTACTAAAAATACAAAAAAATTAGCCAAGCGTGGTGGCGCATACCTGTAATCCCAGCTACTAGGGAGTATGAGTCAGAAGAATCGCTTGAACCTGGGAGGCAGAGGTTGCAGTTAGCCAAGATCATGCCACTGTACTCCAGTCTAGGCGGCAGAGTAAGGCTGTCTTAAAAAAAAAAAAATATGGCCGTGCGCGGTGGCTCACGCCTATAATCCCAGCACTTTGGGAGGCCGAGGCGGGTGGATCACGAGGTCAAGAGATCAAGACCATCCTGGTCAACAAGGTGAAACCTCGTCTCTACTAAAAATAACAAAAATTAGCTGGGCATGATGGTGCGTGCCTGTAGTCCCAGCTACTCGGGAGGCTGAGGCAGGAGAATTGCTTGAATCCAGGAGGCAGAGGTTGCGGTGAGCCGAGATGTGCCATTGCACTCTAGTCTGGGCAACAACAGCGAAACTCCGTCTCAAAAAAAAAAACAAAACAAAAAAAACTACTACATGGGACGATCTGCATAGGCTACATGCAAATATTACTTTTTTTTTTTTTTTTTTGAGGCAGGGCCTCATTCTGTCACCCAGGCTGGAGTGCAGTGGCATGGTAACAACTCACTGCAGTTTTTTTTTTTTTTTTTTTTGAGATGGAGTTTCGCTCTTGTTACCCAGGCTGGAGTGCAATGGCGCGATCTCGGCTCACCGCAACCTCCGCGTCCTGGGTTCCGGCAATTCTCCTGCCTCAACCTCCTGAGTAGCTGGGGTTTACAGGCACGCGCCACCATGCCCAGCTAATTTTTTGTAGTTTAGTAGAGACGGGGTTTCACCATGTTGACCAGGATGGTCTCGATCTCTTGACCTCGTGATCCACCCGCCTCGGCCTCCCAAAGTGCTGGGATTACAGGCGCACACCACCACACCCAGCTAATTTTTGAAGAGACCCATTTTGCCATGTTGCCCGGATGGTCCTGAAATTCTGGGCTCAAGTGATTCACCCATCTTGGCCTCCCAAAGTGCTGGGATTACAGGTGTGCGCCATTGTGCCAGCCCCAATGTTATAGCATTTTATATTAAGAGTGAGCTTCTAGGCTGGGCGCGGTGGCTCAAGCCTGTAATCCCAGCACTTTGGGAGGCCGAGGCGGGTGGATCACGAGGTCAACAGATCGAGACCATCCTGATCAACATGGTGAAACCCCGTCTCTACTAAAAATACAAAAAATTAGCTGGGCATGGTGGTGTGTGCCTGTAATCCCAGCTACTCAGGAGGCTGAGGCAGGAGAATTGCCTGAACCCAGGAGGCGGAGGTTGCGGTGAGCCGATATTGCGCCACTGCACTCCAGCCTGGGTAACAAGAGTGAAACTCCGTCTCAAAAAAAAAAAGAGTGAGCTTCTGTGGACTTAGGTATTAGGGTTCATCCTGGAACCAATCCCTGGCTGATACTGTATAACCATGGTCTGCAGGGGCTAAGAGCACAGCCCTGCTGCTGTCTCACCACCTCTGCCATCTGCTCACTTCTATCCCCACCTCACCCCGTGCCCTACCCCCTACCCTACTGCTGGGTTATAAGTATCCACAACAAGGACCACTTGGTATAAGCCACCCACCCCAATCTTTCTGCCAGAAGAGTGACATCACTGGAAACCTCCAACCTTTCAGACCAGCTCGTATGTCCAGCAGCTGCTGCCATCCCTCTGCGCTCTGTACCTGGCTGTGCTCTGGCTCTGGGTAGAGACCTGCTCTCCCACTTGAACTACAGTATCCAGGACTGGGAAAAGCAGGGTAGCTTTTCCTGTTACCTTGCTTTTCTCTCTCTCCCTCTCTTTTTATTTTGAAGGAGTGAAGCAGTAGTTATCTTGTTTTTTAAGAGTAAGGCACACTCCTAAGCAGAGACGCCCAGAGAGGCTGTGTACCAGAAATGGGCACTCAACCTCAGTCTTGTTGGGTTGCGACCAGCACCCAGAGCTCAGGCCAGTCTTGGTGTGGACACAGCCAAGCTCTAAGCTGTCAGATTGACAGGGGCTTGAATACCAACACTGTTCCTCCTCAAGAGGGACACAGGACACACCTATCTATCCTCAAGGTGGTTCATGCTATGGTAACAAAGGAGACACACAGTGACTGGCAAAGAACAAGCTCTCAATAAAGCCTATTAGGTTCTCTAACAGAGGCTTAAAATGTTTCTTACGGCTGTATAAAAACCTTTTGGCAAGGAGAACAACCTTGGTCAGTTATTATAAGCTCCTCCCCTGCCATCTCAGTTCATGCTAATTATTTTTTCTGACCCACTAGAAGGAAGAGGTTTATTAACTTTGCAAATTGGAAATGCAAGAGCTGAAATACCGCGTTCTATTAAAACACCCTTTTCCTCACCCCCTAGAGACCCAGGTTCCAGCCCCACCTCTTGAATTGGGAGTTGCACAAATCCAGGCCACCCTAACTGGTACTTATGAGAGCCAACTGCAAGCAAGGTGCTGTCACAAATGGTTTCTTCTGCAGTTCCTCCAGACTAGAAGCCTTTTGCTCTTCTGCTGTGTGAATTCTTGGGATGGCAACCCACTCCTCTCAGGAATCCCTTGTCCAGGAATCACCCTCTACCTGGAACTGCAAAGGAGACCACCCCTCTTCACTCTACTGTGAGTTCATGGTCAAGGGAGAGCTGCTGTGTGTTCCTGTAGACCGAGAGGGGGTTCCCTCTGCACTTGGGCATAGGGCAGACCAGCCAAGCACAGTTTCTCAGGAGTCACCACAGCTCAGCTAAGTTCAGACTGGTGGTTGCATCCTGACCTACTGAGTCAAAGACAGGGAAGAACTCCCCGCCAGTACACTCTGGCTGACCCTCCTCTGCCTAACTTATAAGAAACCACTTCTGGCCGGGCGCGGTGGCTCAAGCCTGTAATCTCAGCACTTTGGGAGGCCGAGGCGGGTGGATCACAAGGTCAAGAGATCGAGACCATCCTGGTCAACACGGTGAAACCCCGTCTCTACTAAAAATACAAAAAATTAGCTGGGCATGGTGGCGTGTGCCTGTAATCCCAGCTACTCAGGAGGCGGAGGCAGAAGAATTGCCTGAACCCAGGAGGTGGAGGTTGCGGTGAGCCGAGATCGCGCCATTGCATTCCAGCCTGGGTAAAAAGAGTAAAACTCCATCTAAAAAAAAAAAAAAAAAAAGAAAGAAACCACTTCTTTGACCTTGATTAATCCCTTAACTCACTTCTGTGACACCTCCTAGGATCTCATTCTTTCTACTATCTTTTCAATTTTTTAACCTTATACGAAAATTAACTCAAGAATTCTTTCTACTGTCACAGCACAAGTGGGTGCCCAGCCCTACGCAGGAGCCAAACATGGACCAGCCTTCAACCTACAAGAAATGTTTTCAGACACCCCAATTCAGCAGCTGCTCGCAGACACCCACCAAAACACCAAACTGGACTCCCACATCTCTATCTTCAGCAGGTCTTTCAGAGAATCAAGACAACAAGAGGCTTGTCCAGCCAAGCACAGTGGCTCATGCCAGTAATCCCGGCACTTTGGGAGGCTAAGGCAGGTCACCTGAGGTCAGGAGATGGAGACCAGGCTGACCAATGTGGTGAAATCCTGTCTCTACTAAAAATGCAAAAATTTGCTGGGCATGGTGGTGTGCACCTGTAATCCCAGCTACTTGGGAGGCTGAGGCAAGAGAATTGCTTGAACCCGGAAAATGGGAGGTTGCAAGTGAGCCAAGATCATGCCATGGTACTCCGGCCACGGTGACAAAAGCGAAACTCCATCTCAAAGAAAAGAGGCCTAGCCGGGTGCAGTAGCTCACGCCTGCCATCCCAGCACTTTGGGAGGCTGAGGTGGGTGGATCACCTGAGGTTGGGGGAGGTTCAAGACCAGCCTGACCAACATGGAGAAACGCCATTTCTACTAACCATACAAAATTAGCCAGGTGTGGTGGCGCATGCCTGTAATCCCAGCTACTTGAGAGGCTGAGGTAGAAGAATCACTTGAATCTGAGAGACAGAGGTTGCAGTAAGCTGAGACCACCCCCTTCATGAAGACCCATGGTGACCATCCCTTGAACGTCAGTGAGACCAAGTCTTTCAGTTCTTCCTCTACCTTGTCCCTTATACCACTGCCTTGGGACTTCTTACTCCTACCGCTCCACTCCATTCCCAAACCACCCCCTAGGAGGGCCCCATCTTCTGCCATGGACCTCCTTATTCCCAACCCCCGAGATTAAGACCTGTCCACCACACACTGGTTCCTACATGCTTCCATATTTTGGCCCTGCTCAGCAGGGCCACAGCCTCAGCACACTTTAGCTTCAAATATGAGGGGGCTGTGACTTCACCTGTCCACACATCAGCTTCCTCACTGGTAAAACAGATCAGTCCCATGACTAGTATAAACTGACTGCCAAACTGGGTGGAACATATTAAAACTCTAAAATAGAGACTGGTAAACTCTGCCTATAACCCCAGTGCTTTGGGAGGCTGAGATGGGAGGATTGCTTGAGCCTGGGAGTTCAACACAGTGAGACTCCATCTCTACAAATAAAAAAAGTTAGCTAGGCATGGTGACTGGTGGGCACCTGTAGTCACTTAGGAGGGTGGGACGGGAGGGTCACTTAAGCCCAGGAGTTAGAGGCTGCAGTGAGGTATAATTGTGCCACTGTACTCCAACCTGGGTGACAGAGCTAAACGTTCTGCCACAACTACAACTCTGCACCTGTGTACACTATGTAGATAATGTGGTTGTGGCTGTATCCCAACAAAAATATACACAACAGGCCTCTAGTCTACACACAACCATCCTGTGCTACTAGGGCAGCTGGACAAGTGAGGTGGAAAAGGGACCTTTGTGGTACTTCCTGTGATGAAGGCCAGCAGGCAGGGAGAAGATGCACCTTCTGCCTGAGGTTTCCAGGAAGGGACATGGCGGGCTGAAAGGGGCCGCAGCAAGTCTACCATGACCATCAGGTGCCGCTACATTTATTATCCAAGGGCTTAATCCCATCTCTTGTTAATCCCACCCTATGTTGAAACAAACAAAAACACACATGAATAAAAGACACACAGAGTCCTATTTTGGGGTATCTGATAGCATAGCATGCGTCTTCACCCCAGATGAGAAAGGCTATTAGATTATTTTTCCTAATCCTAGATCCAAAGCTGCCCTGACCTACTGACCCTTGAGGCACTGCCAAAGCAAGATGGGGGGATGAGTGGAGGGGACATGTTTCTTCCAGACTTTGTCACTGCTGTGCACCCAGGGAAGTCAGCTTCTCTTCATTAGCCCCACATTCTGTCTAAAAAGAATAGTGAGTGGGTGATATGCCATCAACCCCACCCACCTTAGCAAGTTCATCTTTCAGTCCTAAGAGGCCGCAGCTGAGTTACGTTGGTCCTCTGTGCCCACTCCAAGGCCCCATGGCCATCTGAGGCACAAGTGTACCACAAATCCACAAAATGCTTCTTATTCCGAAGGGCCAAACAACCTGTACCAAGGTCAACTCTTTTCAGGGTCATTCTGAAGTTTTGCTGATTTCCAAACCCCGCTTCCCACCTACTTCCTATCTGGAGACAAGCTGTAGTCATGAAATATAAGGTTTAAGATTAGAGAGGCCAAGGCCCCTTAGCAAAGGTCCACTCTGAGGCAGTCGCCTCGACACAACACAGCACTGCCACCGCCCACCGTGTTAGGTCTTTCTGAGGGTGAAGATTTATTGAGTACTGAAATGCCAAGACACATGAAAACTAACACTAGTTAGGGGCCGTACATACATTTATTACTGTACATTACTGTATTATTACTAAACGTAAATTATTACTTTAAGATCGAAAAGAGACAGGGCTGGCACAAGGTCACAGGGTGCCCATAAGGTCAGGAAGTCAGGATTTAAAGCAAGTACTAACCTGGCCACACCTCCAACCATTTAGTTAGAAACAACCTGTTAGAGACATGAAGCAGGCTAACTTGACCTGAGCAATTATAAAAGGCAGCTAACTTTTTCTTAACTACTTTGCAACAGACATGTTCTAAACACTCTTGATTTAAATTCATTCAATCCTTACAATTCTCTCGGTACTGGCACAGTAATTAGCCCCATTTTTGGGATGAGAAAATGGAGGAACAGGCAGATTAAGTAATTTGCCAGAGTTGACACAAGCAGATGTAAAAGATGGATTCAAACCCAGGGAGTCTGACTCCATGTATGTAGGAAGGATTAAACCACCTATAAGCAAAATATAAACATTCATCTGTCTCTGGTTTCCCTTGAAGCTCAAAGCCACAAGTCCTCCTCTCACAAGGCTCTTAGAATTGCATAAAAACTTGGAGTATCAAGTTATTGAATGTCCTACCACACAAAACATGTGGTGACACAACCCAACATTTCTCTCCCTCTTGGGCAGGGGCCAGGAAAGAGCTCATAGGAGACAGGTAAGTATGGTTTGTGCCAGGGGTCACCCAGCTCCCCACTCTCCAGCCAAAGACCCAAGTTCCTCACCAGCTCGCGTGTAGAACCAGTTCTCATCGTAGGGAGCAAGCTCTTTGTGCTTAGCCAGCTTGACGGTGTCCACCCATTCAGGGACTTTCAGCTTCCCGGACCTAAGACCAAAACAGTAAGAAAACCACGATTCAGTAATCTCCACAAACTACCCCACACCCCAAATATGCCCTCCCTTCAACATAACCATGGTTTATGAGGTGCCTGATGTGCCCAGAGTACAAAGAGAAGCTGGAACCGCAACCAAGCCAGGCCTAATGCCGAAAGGAGCCACAGAAGCCCCTAACAAGTCTCCCCTGCCAGCACCGGCAAACACTGGGCCCAGATGGGTAGACCAAGGCGACAGCCTCCACCCGCTTTGAACCTCAGTCCCCAAACTCACTTTTTGAGAAAGGCTGCCAGAGCTCTGACGAACTCCTGCTGGTTCACGTCTTTTACAGTAACTCCAGGCATCTGCGGGAGAAGGTCACGCATGTGAACACAGGCCTAGCGGAGACGACCGCCAAGGGCCCGGACCCCACCCCACTCCTTTCGCTCCAAGGTATCCTAAACCAGGGTACCCCGTTACTTCCCAAGGCCCCTTCAACGACTGGCCCCGGCTCCTGCGGGTCCGAAGGAGCTCACTGACGCCCACGGACTTTCTGGGTCGCACGAACACAGCCCGGCTCCCGCGTGTGAAGATCCTACGCAACCTCACTCCTCAGCCCCGGGACTCCGGACGCCCCACGCACACCCGCCACTACTCCCCCGGGCCCACGCTCAGCTCCCGGACGGCGCTGACCGGGCATGTTCGGGCCTGCCGCTCGCACGTGGCCGCGGCTCCAGGGGGCGGGACAGGCCCGCACCGGTCGCCTCGGGGCCCTAAGGCACGCGCTCTGAGGCTGCGGCTTCCAGTCCTGCCGCCCCACTCATGGTCCGATTCGGAGCACCCGCTTACCGTGCGGCCTCCGCGCTGCCAGCCAGGGGAAAGGGAGCGACGGGGTTTCCCGGGCGCACAAGTCGGGCTTCGGGTCTCGCGAGAGTTCTGAAAGTTCGCGAGAGCGGGGGGTAAAAGCGGAGGCTCCGCCTCTCTCAGGGCGAATGTGGCTTCGTCCCCGCCTAGAGGGGAGGTTATGTATTGAGGGGTGGAGAGGTAAAGGGCAGGGCCGAGGGGTCGGGCTTGGAGGCCAGGTTTTCCTCCCGCTTTTCCTTCTCCCGGAGTGTAATAGAGGATAAGAGCTCCTGTCCCGAGATGGGGGAACTTGGTTTCGTTTGCGTCGTTCGTGACTGGAAGGAACAGTGGTGGAGAAGACTATGATGGCAAAAATACAGGGCAGGTTGGGTGGGCAGCCGGCGCCCTCAGCGGAACAACCCCTTTTCCGGGTGGAAGTGGCTGTTCTTTGACAGGAAGTGGGAGTAGTAAGGGCGGAACTGTGACGGGGAGCCTAGGGGAAGGGCGAGGAAGAAATGTGGCTACCATTTTCCGTCCTTCACCGCAAGCAGTCGCGAGAGTGGGAGACGGAAGCCCCACCCTTCTCAGGGCGGAAGTTGCTTCAGCACCACCCGGGCGAGCGAAAGGGGAGTGAGGCACTGAGGGAGGAGATAAGGGTGGGACAAAGCGGCAGGGGCGGGACCTTCAGAGGGGTTAGTTCAGTTCTGCCTTCTAGTGTCGGAGCCTGTTGGCTCAGTTGTTAGGCTTACTTTGCCCATTTAGATTTGCTTGCCCTGCTGACCTGTGTAGATTCAGGCGGTCCATTTGCTCTCTCAGGGCTTGTCTCACCATTGAAAAAACAACAACAACAAAACTGAGATCCCCATTTGCCCATTTAAAGTGGCTGCTCTGGTTCATGGCGCGTCACATGCTCTAACAACAAATATTTTTTGAGTGCCTGCTCAGTGCCAGGCCCAGGTAAACATTATATTGGACATTTATCATGTGGCTGGTCCTGTAGTGTTACATGCATGATCTCATTTAATCCTTACAAGGCTCAGCAGCGAAAGAACATGTGGTCCAATAAAATTATGTTAACTTGTTTCAAAAAGGAAACACTGAAATGCGTGTAGCTATTTTCTTATTTTGGAACGACTTTGAGAATTTAGAACATCCGAGCAAATAATATTATATTTTTTCCTCACACTGATACCGTGGCTACAAAATGTGTTATTAATAAGCCAATACCCATATCTGTTAGAAAAATTAAAACCATGCTTCTAGGATAGGATCATGTATTTAAGTCAGGGTTTTACATTCATGTAGAATGTTGTTGAAACACTGTTTCTAAAACTTGAGAAAATATTTTCATTATCTCAATTATTTTTATAGAACCAACACATGTATTTGTATATGTGTTCCATTAAAAGTGGGTAATATATGCATGTCTAACTGGAAATTTCCATGTACTTGGGTTATTTATGTTCACTTTTTATAATTTAATTAATTATTGTTATTATTATTATTTGAGACAGAGTCTCGTTCTGTTGCCCAGGCTGGAGTGCAATGATGTGATTTTGGTTCACTGCAACCTCCACCTCCTGGGTTCAAGTGATTCTCCTGCCTCAGGCTCCCGAGTAGCTGGGATTACAGGTGCCTGCCACCACACCTGGCTAATTTTTGTATTTATAGTAGAGAGGAGGTTTCACCATATTGGCCAGGCTAGTCTTGAACTCCTGACCTCAGGTGATTCACTTGCATCGACCTCCCAAAGTGCTGGGATTACAGGCATGAACCACTGTGCGTGGCCCCTACTTTTAATAATTTCTAGTGTCAGTTCTGAGTCATTTACACATAATTCATTTGAGTCAATTCACTAAATTTAATTTTTTTTAAAGCTCTCCAGAGGAACTCTGGAGTGCCTGGCCAAAGGAAGAGACAGGGTGAATATAAGATATTGGGAAGAGTGAAGCTTAGGTAAAATTTATATAAAGCAGAGTTTTGATGGACATAAGGCAAAGCAGGCATGCATTTATGTAATGAAGCTAACATCATGCCTGGGCTAGGAGCAGACCCAGGATTCTATTTCCTGGGACATTAGAAAGTTTAGATAAATGTTCTACAGTGTCTCTAAAACCCACTTCTCTGCAGCTCTCACCTGAGTTGGAGATTATGACTGCTTCTCTGTGTCAAAGTGACTTAGACTTTCTAGGTAAGAATGACATGTCCCATTCTCACTATTGAATTGATTTTAAAGAGCAAAATTCTGACAGTGTGTGATTTTAGAGAACACAGTTTCTCAGCATTGTGTGCCTGGTGTTAATTTTTGTACATGTTAGTTTTTACAGGTTCATAATTGACAACTCTGTGAGGTGGTTATAGAGCAGTCAACTGAGGCTTAGAGTCATTTGTCCAAGGTCACATAAGGCTAAAGCCTGAGCTGGGATTTGAAGCCACAACTGAAGATGCTCAAGCTCTTTCAATAACCTCTTTAAACACAGTTTTAAAAATGGTTTGGGGCTGCAGTACCTACAAACAGTGGGATATTATTCAATGAGCTATCAAGCCATGAAAAGATATGGTGGATTTGGGAGGCCGAGGCGGGTGGATTACTTGAGGTCAGGAGTTAGAGACCAGCCTTACCAACATGGAGAAACCCCGTCTCTCCTAAAAATACAAAAATCAAGCCGGGCGCGGTGGCTCAAGCCTGTAATCCCAGCACTTTGGGAGGCCGAGGCGGGTGGATCACAAGGTCAAGAGATCGAGACCATCCTGGTCAACATGGTGAAACCCCGTCTCTACTAAAAATACAAAAAAATCAGCTGGGCATGGTGGCGCATGCCTGTAGTCCCAGCTACTCAGGAGGCTGAGGCAGGAGAATTGCCTGAACCCAGGAGGCGGAGGTTGCGGTGAGCCGAGATCGTGCCATTGCACTCCAGCCTGGGTAACATGAGTGAAACTCCGTCTCAAAAAAAAAAAAAAAAAAAAAAAAAATACAAAAATCAGCTGAGCGTGGTGGCACATGCCTGTGGCTCCCCTCAACCACAGGGGAAGACTGCTGCGCTTGAACAGGCAACAACTTAGGAGCATGAGCAATTCTTAAATCTGCTCTTTTCCCTAAGACGTACATCTGCAGAAGCTCTGGCCCTCTCTCTCAGGTAGTAATGGGGCACCCTAATGATTTGAAAGACAAAGTTGGTCTGGCCAGTGGTGTGAAAAGCCTTGTCAGGCCAGGCACTGAAGGGGAGGTGGGCTGCAGAGAAATGAGAAGGGCCTGTGAAGAGGGGCCTGCTCTCCACCCTTCCGCCAATCTCCATCACTCCCTCTTTTCCTCCCCTTTTCATGCCGTCCTTTAACCCCAAATTATACTTTCTATTTTACCCTTCTCAGCTGTGTGACCTTGGTGTACAGGGGACCCTTGGTCAGCGCCAAGTAGCAGAGTCTCAGCCATGGTGCATGCTGCAGTGCTTCCTTTCTCTGTGATTTTGTGTCCTTGGTCATCTGTCACTAGGAAAGCATGGCACACCAAGTCTTCGGCATGTCTATTAAGGAGCAATCATATATAGCTAAGGGGAGGGAAGAAGGGTGTGGAGCCGACTTTAGTCTCTTTTTTTTTTTTTTTTTTTTTTTTTTA